GCAGCAGCTCATGGAAACCAACAAAGGGATCGTTTATAACAGACACTAATTATATATACATTGGACGTGGTTTGACTGTTTTTTGGGGTACATATTCCAGTCCCATGGAGTGCTGTAACAATACAAGCCTCGCATGGATTCCTTTCAACTTCTACAGAGTCCTCCGTCCTAAAACGCGTTTAGAGTCTAGTCTAGACGTGTGAAAGGGTTTAGACGTCTGCCATCCTCTTCGCCTCGCGTGCCTCGTTGCGCCTCGCCTCGAGCCGCGCCTCCAGGAGCAACTGAAGCCTCGCTTGCCCAACTTCCTGGCGCAGCTCGTCGCGGCGGGGGCCTGGTTGGGCCGGGCGCACGCTGGGTGCGTGGTTGGTTGGTTAGCGGTTAGCTGGCGCGCACGCGAAGGGTGCGTGCTTGATTGGGTTGCTGTTATTTGTTTTGCTTTGTGTTGGATTACGTCGTTTGTCCTTCAGGCACAGTATCCAATGAATGGTGACATGTCTATAGTCTATATAGAACGACCTACACACTATGTAAATGCACATGTTGCTGGTCTGGACTACGTAGTTCCGATGTCTTCAGAACGGTCCTGTTGTTCAGACTCAGGGATGTGCCTGCGCACTATACATTGGTGAGTTGGGTTGTGCTTAGTTTGGGTGTGTGGACTTGCCCCCAAACTACACGATCGAACGCTGCGTCTGACAAGCTGGCATTGGTCTGGCAGGTGGTTTGCCCCTTTGTCCCTTTGTACATTGCAGCCATGTTTCGAAAGATATGTTCATAGGCGCACGTATCATCAATTTTTGGTAGAACCACATTTTGGATAGGCCGTTTCATGGCAGCAACTCGTTGCGGTTTGACCGCCTTCTGCCTTCGGGAGCCTTCCGTCGCCAGGCGGGAACAGAGCCGCGGCAGAAGGGTCCGCATTTGGAGATGGCCGCGTCGTGCTTGGGCACCCAGCTGGCGATCACGGAAACGTTGCCACCGACTACCTTTGGACAACTCCCAAACCCCTCACCACCTGCGTGTATCATGCACATGCCAGTGCTTTTGATATTCATATTTTACATTAAAGAAATGAAATATATATATATATATCAACAGTCACCGTAGGTAAACATACCAACTGGTTCAGGGACCGAATGTGACCGAAACGGCCTATCCTTGACCAAAGCCACCCGGTGATTTGGCGACCGCAACATCACCTCCAAAATCGCTGGAGTGAATGTAAAACCAGGAAAATACAAACTAATATAAATGTGACTAGTGACTGGAGTGACAGTTTTGGGTGGTTGAGTCAAGGCAAGGGATGCAGGTCAAACACCTAGCTTGCGTCTCAGCTTCTGGGCGGTGAGGCCACGTCTATGGGCTGCGGGATGCACGAAGCCGTTGTAACCACTGCGGCTGGCTCAACTCGGTGTGGGATGCCATCGGATCTTCGATCCAAGGAGGGGACGCTGGGGGGAAGACGCTGGGGGGAAGACGCTGAGTGGTTTGGTTCAGATGTGACGGTCGGGTGGGTTCTGCGCATGTTCGGGTGGGTGCGACGGTCTGCTTTTCTTGATCGTTTTCTTTTGTTTTGTATTCTTTTTCGGCGTTCGTTCATGGCCGTGGCGTGGCAACATGAAGATTTCAGTGGAGAGATCAACGGTCGGTCTGTCAGTGATGTCTTTTTGGCCAGGGGGTCCCCCAAAATGGTTTCAGGGAGCACTTTGCGGAGCTCGGCGTGCCCAGGCCGCCCTGTTTGGAATCAAAAGGCCGCCCTTTTTGGAACTCCCCAGGCGCAGGGACCTACCACACCAAGACCGCAGGACCTACCACGTGGTTTCATGGACACGAAAGAAATTCACCTCTTACCTCTTAAGAAGCGGAATAGACATCCCCATAGGCCCGGTGACCTTCGTTTTGTGGTGCTGTGGTGTTTTGATAAATGGGTTCCAGAGACATGTCTTCAGTGTGACGTGTTTCTTTTTTCAGGTTCATAAGATGATTCAGTTCATTTATCGGAGGGCGGAATGGCCGGTTTTTCCTTTTTCCACCTGTCGCGATCGGTGTTGCAGTTTTCACGCTGCAAAACAGGCTGCACTTGGCAAGCTGCATAGAACAGGTGAATCCTGCAACTTCAGCTGTTCACTTCAGCAAGTTGCCGAACCCTGCTTCCATGGTTTGTGAGCATCTCGCGCAGGAAACACGCGGAATGAGGGACACAGCTGCATCTCCTGCAACAAGTGTCAAGCCGTCCATGAGCCCACCCTGACACTGCGAAAGAGGTTGCCGCGTGCGGGGGGGTCCCAGGAAGTGCGGAGTGCGGAACAGCCGAGCGGCGGAGACCACCGCCGGCGTCACCGAGCGGAACGACGCGGAACCGTCGTGATGTACGAAAAACACACGCGACCGTTGTGCTTTTTGATCCCGGGAGGTTTTCATTTTCGAAGAACAACAACGGCTTCACCTCCGATGCCAGGTAGTACAGTAATATGTTGTCATATGTTGTCATCGTCCCCTTCACCTGGTTTGAGGTCGCCCTGTGGAAGGTCATAGGATGAGACACGATGGGTCGCTTATACTCGATCGAACGGTACCTGCGACGGGACCTGCGACCGGTGAGGTGGCTGAGGAGGGGACGACTGGGTCTGCCGCGAAGACGACCGGATCGATGCGGGAACGTCATGAGCTGGCGGCGGCATCCCGAAAGACGGGATGTTTTTTTTCATGTCTTTTGCTCTATTTGGCTGTTTGACTAGTGAAGGCTGTGGCCAAGAACCTTAGACTCATTCCTGTTTGTGGGTATTTGATTGACATGGATTCCTAATTCTTCGCTACAAAAACAGATCTAAGTAGTGTGGTGACCTGGCAAACATCGGACACTCTGCCATATATATATATCCCAGTATACAATACTTCACTCCGTTCCTTTTGTGTGTTTTTTTGTTCGGGAAGCCCCCATGGACTGGGATCTCTGGGATATGGCCTTTTACATTATGGGTTGATTCATAGAGGGGACTTTCGCAAGTGAACCACCATATTATTTCATCCGGTATACGATTAACCTGATGGCCTGCCATCCAATCGACCCCCCTAGGCCTTGTCCTATGATTCCAGTGATGTCCTCCCATCGACTCCTCCGCTCCTAGGCCGTGATCGATCGATCTCACAGTGAGTTGAGCATCTCAACGGTGGGCGACCTCTCGACGCAGATCCACTTGTTGAACCTCAAGGCAGGAGGAACGGGATCGTGAGGAGGAAACGGGATATTTTGGTCAGTTTGGTCCCCCAAAAAGCTCCGGAATGGTTTTTGGGTGAAGAAGGTCCGGAATTTTGAGGCGATCTGCACCTTCGCTGGTGGGATCCTTCTTTTTATTTTCACTGTGAACATGTCCCAGCTCCTCCGCTGGTGGAAACATCTGCATTCCACCCATGCGGCCGCCTCCTGTGCGGCACGAGCTTCGCCTCCTGTGCGCCGCACGTGCACGGCGACCAGGTGTGCCTGGATCGCATCACGTCCCGGCAGCTGGACGAATTGACGGAGGAGAAGCTGTTGGAAGAAGATCCAGAGGCCACTTTCACCGTTTCTCCCGTTTCTTCCCCATGCGCACTGTGACACGCAGCGTGTCCTACCGGCCGGTGATGTCCGGTTAGTTTTTGTGTTCTTTGTGTCAGACACCTGCAACAGCAAAGTTCTCTCGTACCACGCAAGCACAAACTCAGCTGGTGCCTTCCTCAAAACCACACCCCCAAGTTTTACCGCTCTTGCGCTGATGGTGTCAGGTTTACTGGTGCCTCCATCTCTTCTATGGCCTTCGAGCGGAAGTCTTTTGGCGGAAAGGCTCTGATGCTCCAGTGCTTTTGGCCTCCACAGGCTTCCACTCCATGTGCAGGCGCGCCTGTTGGCATTTGAGTCGTCGGTGTTTCTGCGTCCTTTGGTGTGGGAAGGGGAAGTGGATCGATAATTCACGTGCTACCTGCTACCACGTCAAGGATCGTCAAGGGAGTTCCATCATTTTGGTGGGACACAGGCTTGGAAGGTGATCATGGTGAATACTATGTCGATGTTCCAAATGACTGCAAAGTATACCAGAACCCTCCAACAAACAGACCTTTTTCAAAAGGAGGGTTGCTAGTGAAGTTAGGCCATATTGGTTTTTAAGCGGTGACCTGAAAACCTTGGGACGCTTTGGTGGGGATGTCTTTGTGACATGTCAGAAAACGGCCCTTTTTGTACGTTGGAGTCAATAATCAATATGCATATACTGTAGATACTGTAATTAGCTGGGAGAATGGCCAAGTATACAAGTAACTAGGTTTCTTGCTGATGTGTGTGTTTCTGCAGGCTGACTATCTCTTGAGCTAGAGAGACCGACAAACCCTTCCACCGTGGCAACTGAGAATCCTTCATGTTCAAAGCTAGGTGCTTCTGTGACAGAAGCTCGGCATAGTTCGGCCATTCACCAGAAACTGTGTTGAGCGTGTTGAGCGAGACCCCATCGCAGGAGTTTGGCAGCTGCCAAGAAGCAGGAGAGACTGCCTTCGATCCTGATTTGGGGGTTCTTAAACATAGGACATCAGCAGTGGATTACAGGATGAAACATCAGGATCATCAGCAGTGGATTACTGTGTTTGTCCTTCAGGCGTGCTCGCTGTTTTAAGTGGCCTGAGCAGCCTCATCTTGAGCGATTGGGTTCGTCATTCTGCTGGGATTTACCCTGACAACACCTGGTATTTTTATATGTTTGTGTGATTGCCGGTCAAGGAATCCGCAGCCCCTGACATGCACAGATTGGTTTGTTAGGCCAGGTTCTGGTCCATTGGCGTTGAACATCTGCGTCTCCTGAGCTCACTAGCAGAGGAGAAAAGATAAGGCATCTTGTAGCCAGGTAGGGAGCCACCTGGTCCGTCTTCCAAAGGTGGAGCATGGTAAAGCCGATGGATTCCATGGATCACTGATTTTTGGCCCAAGCACCTCTTTGCCACGGACCACGGAAAAGCCAGCGTCGTGTGATGGTGCAATGGTCAAGCGCCCCGCAGGTAAGGCGGAGGCAAAGGTGAAGTGACCAAGATGGCTTTTCAATCCATCTTTGATTTTGTGTAATGTTTATGTATCTATCCATTCTTTCCACATGGTGTTCTGCTATTTTGCAGACAAGTGTCAGGCTTCTGCATTGCTACGATGTCTGAGTTGTTCTCCCAAATCTGAGCCAATTCATGAGGTGAGACAGACGCCAGTTGTGGGGTTCACATGCGGATGGCACTCTGGGGGTGCATGGGATGGCATGTGTTTTTCGGTACCATGCAGATGGTATGGGGAACAGACGAGTCGTCATCCAACGGACGAGGTGTCTGTCTTTGTGGTGAGGGGCGCAGTCCTACGCTCGCGAGTGAGAGCTTCATAGAAAAGCCAACCACCTCATGTTGAAGTCTCCAAATTCGCCAACCTTGAAGATTTTCCCTGCTTTAGGAAGCCTCTGGGCGTTTACAACAAGCCCGTGAGTGCAAAGGCCTGGGCTGCTGACCGATTGGCGCGTGAGAAGGGGCGAGTGCAGATCTTCAATTCCACGCGGCCCAATGGACTGGATGGTTGGACCATGGATTTAAAGCCACTCGGCCAAAGCTATGTACTCTGACGAACATATCACATGGTTACGTGGATGGCGCCACAAGTACTTCGTAAACGAAAGGAAGTACAGTAAAGCTGCCTGTTTGCAAAGGAAAGTTGTCTTCCTTTCGGGGCCATGCCATCTACGTAACCATGTGTTTTGAGGTGTTGGCTTGCCAAATGGTCTTTGCATGACACGGGTTGTGTTCGGATGACTGGATGACTGGGTTCACTGGCTCGGCTTGGACAAGCCGGTGAATCCTACGAAAAACGAGCTCCTTATCCTCACAAAGAAGGATGGACAAGCCTGAGATAGGTGATTGACCCGCAGATTTGACTGCAAGCCAACTGCTGGCTGAAGGTTCATGATGAGTCACAAGGGTTAGCTTTGATCAACACTTGGTTCGTGAATGGTGTGAGAGTGTGAGGACTCCATGTACAGTACAGTAGAGGGAAATGGTGAGCGATTGGTTTTGGGGGGGACCGATTCTTGGCAGGGCACGATTTGTGCAGTCGAGGCAATACAACCTGATGCGGACACATATCCTGAATTGGATCAAGAAGAAGTCTGGCACAGACGGCTCAGTGGCTTTGCAAGATGTGGTGAACTCTGCTCAAGAACGTTACCAGTCACATGCGCTCTTCCCGAAAGGCCACTCGTCCCGAGGGCGCCATGTACCATCGGTCGGATGCTGCGCGGCCGGTCGACTGAAAAGGACGTGGGTGTGAAGCTATGACCAACCGAGACACCGGTTGACGCCTAAAACCTGAGCCCAACTGAGACGCCAACCCTGAAAACTCGGGATCCGCCGGAATCCGAGGTGCACCAGTCAGGGTTTGTATGGTTTCGTTTCTTCTTCTTTATTTTCAGACAACGAAGGTTTGTGTCAGCAGGCTGACTCAGTGCTGACACCGGGGATTTTCTTCAACTGATGAGCCAGCAGGAAAAACGCCGGGGGGGGGGCGGGCGGGGGAAAATCCCCCAGAGTTTGGAGAAAGAGAGCGGAGGCTTTTCTTGTGATGACTTGTAAGCAAATTCCAGTAAACGTGACAACTAACTAAGGAAGGCTGACCAACTACGTCCGATACACGAAAGTTGATTTGGAAGCCCGGCAAGAGATCGAACGATTGCCTGGCTCTGGGTCACAGCGCATTCGCTTGAGATCCACCAAGTCCTGAGAGCTTTCTTTCACCGAGGGGCCAAGACGATCACGACCGTGGAGTAGATGCACTCAAGACAATCAGACAAGCACATCAAACACACAGCGTGGCAAAGAACCATCGCGAAGAAAAGAGCCGAACAACAAGCAACATCCAAAAATGAACTGGCAGCCCTACTGCAGTAGCTCAACTGTAGTAGACACGGTACAATTTCGGAAGACTGGTGGACTGTGTCCACAGAGGTCAAAGGACCGAGTTCACACCATCGCGTCGGTGAACAGACAGACCCATGACCCATCCCACCACGGCCGAAAAGGGATTTGCACTGGTTTTCATTCTGAAGCCACGGGTTCGCAAAAGGTATTGCTAAATGAGGCTTTGAATGGCTTTGAGTGGGTGTCATTAACAATATCACCAAATACCGGCATAGCGGCTGAAGATGCATCGACACTGTCATCCTGTGTCATACTCTCATACTCATTTAAGTAAATGGTGCAAGACCATGAATCCAGAAAGGGTTTTTAAATGTTGGGCTTTTCCCTGGTTTGTTTACTTAAGAATGCCAGAATGATGACAAAGAGGTCATTGGCGTCAGCAGAGTGTCAGAAGACTAGAAGATTAGATCTGCCAGAAATATCTTAGGGCCCCGCAGAAGTATATGGGTTCTCATGTTTTTTTTGGGGTACAATGGTCGACTGTACTGCTACCCATATCGCAGCGTCCCACCAAAGGTTTGGAAGTACACAATCCGAGTGACATCATCCTCATGTCATGTCCTTTCTCACAATGTCACTGTTGTATAGTGTTCAAGCTATTTCAATCTATTTTCACGACTTCCTTCTCCGCAGGGCATCAGATCATGCAGCTTCGCTTCACCCTTTTGGGTGCATCCATGTGCATCCAAACTTCTGTGTCCAGCCAGATCCAACCAAGTTCAGTCGCCAACATCGTTGACTTCGGAGCCTCGTGAAAATCAACACTCCTCCCCCGACGATCACTCCTTATCGAGCTTCGCACGATCGGAGATGATCACGCTCGGTTCACTGAGTCGCTCGGTTCATTTGGACTTTCACACTCAAATGTACACTCCAACTGTACTGCTTTATACGTCTTCAGTTCACTATACACTCACTCAAACCATTTTTGGACACGGGGGGACTTTATTCATCAACACTCTACACTCTGACAAACGCCTTGTTATGGATGGGACAGTTTCTATAGGTTATGACTTTCCAAGTTTCCGAAGCCCTTTTGGATTCTGCCCACTTCGTAACCCATGTGATGTGCTCTTAGCAGACTCTTTCCGATCGACGGGACCGGACCGGCCGGTCGCTGTCGCAGGAGGCGAAGAGAGCCTCGTTGTCAGGCACGACCCACGGTAGGGCCGGTGGTTTTTCATGGCTAAGGGAAGAGAATATAGAGAATGAACGTATCTATGGAACAGCAAAGTGCGTTTTTCTATGTTTTTCTCGGATTTTCTGCCAGGGGCCGCCCCTGCCGAACGCAGTCAGGCTGGTTCTTCTTTCGGGGAAGTGGGCCAGGTGGTCCACGGAAGAGGATGCATGGAACGTCATGGATGAACTATAGACTATAGTCGACAATTCTGTTTTCGAGTCCAGTTCCGATCAAATGAAAAGCCAGCCCCTTCTGTCCCCCTGCACGTTTCCTGTACAAAATGGAATTGGTTGACCACTGAGATAAGGCATTTTTTATAGGAAACTTGTTTGGGTGCTTTCATGTTTGGCCTCTTGTACAGGGGTAATCTGAGTGGCACCAACAGCATGCTGATTTACACACATGTGATTTTGTAGACACAAATTGTGGACATTCGTGACATTCCTATATATAAGGTGTTTTTAGGCACGCCAGAATCCATTTTTCAGAACACTTGTCATCTTGTATAGAGACACATGTGCAGGGGGATCTGGGGGCAAGAAGGATGGACAAAGGATGGCATGGCTTTGTCGCTCCTAAGTAGATGATGGTGAACAAGTTGCATCTCCACAGAATCCATTATGAACTGTCTGGAGCGCTGGTAGGTCATTTCCATATCAGATCCCTATCCATCCCCCTTTGGAAGTTTTCCATTTTGCTGAATGCGTCCCCGGCCAAAAATTGATCTTGTGCTAGGCATTCTGTAGAAACTCTGTTTTGACAGGATTGTGATTTTGGGGGTTGCACGACTGGGTTGCAGAATGCCGTATGCAGTTTTCTGCAGATCTGCTTGATGCAGAGGATTTTAGGCAGTTTGTCGGCTTGTGATTCCCCCTTGGTGGTACTGGCCATCTTTTCAACTACTGCATTTGACTTTGTGTTTTGTTTGTGTGTGTGACAGTCCTACACCCGTCGATGTCCTTCGCATACTTTCAGGTCGTAGGCCTCCCCTGGTAATCTATTGGGTCGTAGGTTTGGTCAGAGAGCCAGCGCCCCTGGGCGCCACGGCCGTGGTGGAAGGGAGCGGCGCCGCCTGGTTCACACCCAGCGAGCTACGGTAAAGCCATGTGACTTGAGAAGTCTCCGCGGCACGCGCAGGCAAGGTTGCCAACGGCGCCAAGACAGGCATCCCCGAAGGAAATCGGGTTTTCGCGGCGGTTTCGGCTGGCAGGTTTTTGACGAGCAGATCACTGTATATGAAACAAAAAAGTTCATCCATTTATATAGCTTTTATCGAGATTGTCTATTTTGCAGTACACGCTTTTTGCAGTTTGATGGTTTCTCTGCTTTCGAACAGACATATGGGGAGGGGTCATTAAACGGGGAAGGAAGGTGCATGAAACCACCACAACATTTATGTGTGAAGTCTAGATGGGTGGAGGACAAACTGACCTGCAGTCGTAGCCTTTTCGAACTTACACCTGTAGCAGGATTCTTTTGTTTTCTGGCATGAATCTGCCGGTGAAGAGGACCAAATTGAGTAGATTGGATTACACCACTAGCTTGCACGGCAAAAATAACACATGACATTGTGGCTGACTGGATGTTTTCAAAGAAGGAGTGGCTGACTTCACTGTCCATCATTCAATTTGACCATGTTTTTGGGACCAAAGAACGTTGAGCCACGGCTCTTGACGATCTCACCCAACCACGCCCCGGGTCGTACTGTGAGACACCCAATGGGTTGACCGCGCTGGGATCAGGTCTGCTGGGATGAACTAGACACACAACCGACCGTTTCAACAAAAACATGGCACTTGTTTCAGTAAAAATCAGTCAACCACACTTCCCACCACTGTGTGTGTGTTTTCTGTTTTTAAATAGCCGCCCGGGATTCCACACATTTCAGCGGCCACTTGGACATCTAAAAAGCCTGCGTATGTCATAGATTCTATGAATCATACGAAGCTCGGAGGAGAGGAGAAGGATCCTCCTATATGACTAGTACTGGACGTCTCCTCTCCTATTTTGATCCCACCGAACGTCCGGAGCAACCGTCCCGTCGCTGAGGCCGAGGAGTTCAGCGATCTCGCGCTGAAGAGCTCCACTCGTCGGAACAAGAGCCTGGGGAACCCAGCTGGATGAACCGAACCCGACCGTGCGGTCCGGAACCACCGTCCGGTTGGGGCGATTCTTGTAAAGCGAATGAGGTTCGAATTGGGTGTCCGGTCAGGTCGAAGGTTTTTGGATTGGCAGGTCTGACCTCACACATGCGCACACATACTCAACAGATGGAATGTGTGACCCGGCGCACACGACTGTCGTCGGGGTTGCCCCGTCGAACGTTGTTACCTCGTCGTCGTACTCACGGGTCGGAGCTGTGGGGAGAGATGGGACGCGATCGGTGAGAGATGGAGGGAACGAACATCCGCTCAGGTTGCGGATCGTCCTCCCCTTTCGAAGCGTCTGGAGCGGGAGTTCCATCAGGTCCGCCCACGGGCGGGTGCTGTTTGTCATTGGTCCGCGTTTGGTGGCGAACCTTTCCCCTGGCGGGTGGCGTTTTTCTGAGTTTCTGGATGTTTGCCTCAATAAGGCAGTTTCAAGTACTGCGTACTGCTCAAGCTTGAAAGACTTGACTGCCAAATAACACCGCTTCCTTAGTGGGCCGAAGCATTTGGTGCCTCTTTTCCCAATGTGATCTTCTATCTTTTTTTGGGGTGAATCATGCCCCCAAGTTCTGATTTGTTCTGATGTTTGTCTATGTTTTCCCGGCTCAAAACGTCATCAGAAAAGACCCAAGTCCAGTCGACGTTGGTCCGACCTTAACATGTTCCGAGGCGTCGAGCGCTCCGTGGAGTTCTTCGAGGAAGAAGGCGGCCACGACCGCGTTCCGCGTTCCGCCGAACGAGTGGAGTGCGGCTCCGTCTGCCGATGCGGCAGAGAGCAGCATTGATAACGCGTATATACGTTGGGTAACAGTCGGTAAACAGGTCAGGTCTTATCACTGTTTTAGAGATGGAAAGGCCTGCAACCAGGCCTCATCATCATCATCATCATCATCATCATCATCATCATCATCATCATCATCATCATCATCATCATCATCATC